AAATGAGACAGGCCGAGAGGCATAAGCAACTTTTATCTCTTTGTTTAACAGTTTCTAAATGGCCCTAGCAGAGCTTGACTGGCTATGTCTAGACTGCAGGCTTCTTTCAGAAGAAGCTTTTCCAGAAGAGATCTTCCAAGAGAGCAATCGCACTGCCAAAGCACATCGACAAAGCCATCCCAGGCCAGTGCCCCTGATGGCCTCAAGCCCAAAATTCCTTGCAAGCAAGGCAGAGATCCAACCCTTCTTGTCAACTGGATAGGCGGCTGGTTGCAGCAAGCTAGACACAGGCAAGTAAGAGAATATCCTCTTGGATTCAGTGTGGATGCGCTCTCACATGTAAGCTCTGATTACTATGGACAAAGTGGCTAGCAGGGCACCTGTGCTTTTTCCTCTTCTTGTGAAAGAGCTCCCTTTTCCCCATCCACACACGCCTTCTTCCAAAAGAGCTATTTCACAGAAAGGCTTCTTCCTTGTAGAAAGAGGTTTGCTAATGTTGGAAAAACCCCTCTGTTCTTTTGATTTTTTTCAAAAGAACGTGATTGCAGAATGGATGTAAGAAGGGTTTTTTTGGAAAAATGGCAGTTAAAAAAAAACCCTTCTGCAGCATAGACATACACACAAGCATTAAGCCCAGTTGCTCTGTAGAGCAAGACCCCACTGTCTTCTATGCCAGGGGTGCTGCTCAATCACTATCCAAGGACCCCACGCTAGAAGCAAAGGCTTCTGCAAGTTCAGAAGAATGGGTCTCCACTGCCCCCCTGTGGTCAGCACAGAAAAGCATTCAAACAAGTGAGCTGTAAAGCCCACAACGTTTTAAAAAACTGTGAGGGGCTGGTCGGGTTGGCTGTCTCCAAGGCTGAGAACAGAGTAGTGATTGTCAGCAATAGTCCCTCTAATTTTTTTCCACACCTGTGCAGAATAAATTTTGCTTGGTGTACCAAGGCTGTGCAGATGTGCACCATCTGTAGAAACACATGCTGCCAGCTGTGGGAGCTCTGCTAAATTGGCTGGGCAGCATTGACATCTCTCCTGGATGGCTGAGCAAGTGCTCAGCCTACGGGGAACACGGACTGCCTGCACTGATCATTCTGCAATGAGCAAATAGCTCCTATGCATTTAGGTCATGAAAGAATTTCTAGAATTATTTGTATTATTCCAGAAACCACCATTGCCTTGCCTCTTCCTCGCCCCCCCCCTTTTTTAAAGGGGTGGGGGAACCTGCTCACACAAATAGGAAGCAGCCACTTTTGGGGAAGTTGTGGCTCCTAGGTGAGATATTTGCCCTTGAAATTGCTAATAGTGTAGCACAAACCTGCACCCTGCTGACAGGCAAGTTCAGTTCAAGTCAACTGACACCTCACAGCTGTAGCTGCTGCACCCCATCGGGTTCTTTGTCACTTGCACATCTTAATCTCATCAATCAGAGGCCCAGTTAAAGGCTGGCTGAAAATTTGCTGACAGATCCCAGCGGTTAGATTCCTCCCAAGCAAGAGAGCTGTGTGTTGCCCTGTACCCAAGTGCCACACCTCTAGTTCTTGTGCTGGGATAATGGAGAGCCAAAGGGTGGGATGGAGGTGTCATACTCATTGCACATATTTATATACTGAAGGAAAGGGGAACTGAATGGTTGAGACAGACAGTAACAGGAATCCAGGCTGCTGCTTTGAATATCTAGCCCAGGTTACCAGTGATTGAAGATTATTTAGCCACAGAGGAGCTCTCAGCTCATAATGTGGAGTCATGAATTTCATGGTGCCAACTAAGATATTGCATCAGACAGACAGATCCCCCTGGCATTCAAGGACTGGAATGGAAAGCAAAGCTGGGCTCATTCCAAGAGGCAAGCCTCTCCAGGCAAACCGTGGGCCACTTGCACTGTGACTGCTCAATGAATGAGAGATGACCCTAGGCTCTTGCACTAGTCACAAAGAAAAATTAGGACACCCCTTTAGGAACTGGGGGAGATACTTAGAAGAGTGAGAATTAGGAAGGAGACTCTCAAGTCCTGGACAAGATACCAAAGGCTCAGGCTATGCCAGGGAGACACATTTTAATGCAGAGAGAATTATGGGAGTGGGGTGCACCAGTGCAAGGGTGGGGTGATGGTTATTTTTTATTCAACACTTAAAAATTACTACAATCAAATTGCATCTGCCTAGATGCAAGTTGGCGCTACACCTCCATGAGCACGTAATGAAGCAACACAGGTGCACCTGGAAAGAGTTTATTGGTAAAGGTCAGTAGCCATCAGTTTCATAGTACACACACATTGAAACAAATGTTTCCATTGATAGGTATCAAAATTGACAGAGGGCAAAGAAAGAAAAGTGCTACCTCAGAACTTAGGAGCTTAATTTATATATTTACCTTGTAATTTTTGACATGATGTTGACAATGTGTTTTAACCATTAGACAGGTTTAACTTTGACTCTCAATGTCTATCATAACTAAAAAAAATTGCCTGAGTCCCAGCATAATTTCTTGTAACTGAAAATTTTAAAAAATGATTTAAAAAGTCTAAAAATGCTTTAAAACAAACAGTGCTGTGTCAAAATTATGAAAAAGGGGTACATTTAGTTCTGCCCAACCTAACAGTAGGACAGGACACATTCCCTGCTTCCAGGAAAAAAGATTTGCTTGGGATGGAGAGTAACAGAGAGGTAGCTGTGTTAGTCTGATCTTGGTGAAACAAAAAAAGGTAGTCACATAGCCAAGACTAACAAGATGCTTTATTAGATGAGTTTATTGGGATGGAGATGCACTGTTTGATTACATATATTAGGATTTTCAGCAATGCTGATACATACAAAACCTCCTAAAAATAAAAGCTATCCCAGAAGAGAAAGGGCTTGTCTAGGGATTTTTTTAGCCTCTACTTGCATAATTGTACCACTATATTTATATCATTACAACTCCCCTTGGAGGTTTTTCCAGTCGGGATTAAGCAACTAATTGATCAGTCAAATAGCCAATAAGCAAAAGCTTATTGGATAGTCTACTAGTCCCTTGACTAGTTGCTTGACTAATCCCTTGACTAGTTGGTGGGGGAGCAGAAGCCAGCTTTTAAGCCACAGAAGCGTGGCATGGAGCCTGGGGCCAGCAGTGGACTAAGAGTCCTCCACTGGCCCCGGGCCCCTGCTGCATTTCAATCTTCAAAATGCATAAGAGCCCCTGGGCCTCTTGAACATTTCAAAAGTGGAACACCAGGCTAGTCCTTATTGACTAATCAAATAGTTGATGGAAATCCATCAACTATTTGATTAATCAAAATGTAATATCCCTATTCTCTAGAATATTTAGCCAGTAAGTTCCCCCATGTAGAAGGGCCCTAAAATTAGTGGATCTGTACAGCTCACACTACAGGAAAGAAACAGCATCTGTTTGTCTAAACCCGTGAAAAAGCAAGAAAACCCAGAGATGCCAGAGGCAGCACTGTTTGCTCTGCAGAATAATTTGTAACCATTTTGCTAGAACAGCTGAAAGCAACCTAGCCTTTATTTGTCCTCCCTGCACATTTCCCACAGCCCATCTATTTGACCAGGACATTAAGGGAAAAGGATGCTTTTTCCAACAGTGTCAAAAGTCAGACTAGGAACTACATTTTGAATGGCATCCAGACAGCCCTTATCTAGCCAGCTCAATATAGAAGCAAAAGAGGCGAGGGAGCACTTGATATGAATTCTAGTATGCAGGTTGCATTTAACACAGTCAAGAAACCCCCCTATGTAACAGAAGTGTCTGGTATGGAAGTGGAAGGGTGAAGAACTCCAGCCCATTGCAGGCGAACAAAACAAGTAGTACTGATTCTGCACTGAAGAAGTAGATCACTTGATTAGAGAAGCATCATTTAAAAAATGGCAAAAGATAATTTTGGAAACTGATTTACTTTAGGGGGTCAATCTCCTCTGGCAATACACTCCAGTGAATGGCACAAAGTAAAAATGACTAATTATGCTCCACTGGCTGAACATTCCCAGCAAAAATAATGCATTCTTAACACCCAGCCTGTGACCAAAGTTTAGACTGTTTAAAACACAGAAAGCCTGGGATCCTCACAAATCTACTATGAACAGAAATATTGACATGAGTTTAAAATACAGTGCCTTTGGCTTTAAACTAGGGATGATAATGACTAGTTACTCTCCACCTCTATCAGATAGAGGCAGCAAGTGGAGGGGGTGGAAGGAGGAGAGGTACTTCAAAGCAGCAGCGCCACAGGGAGCCCAGGCTCAGTGCAGCGCTGTCCTTTTGAAACACAGTCACAGTGTTTCAAAGGGGCAGGCACCACAGAGCCCAGGGTCAGCAGGGGAGTCACCAGCTGATCCCGGGCTCCATGTGGTGCTGCTCATTTGAAATGCCGCGGCAGCATTTCAAAGGGCAGCACTGACCTACCGACTAATCAAATAGTCCAGCGGCTCCCAAACTACGGGCTGCAGCCTGGTACTGGGCCACAGGAAAAAAAAAAATACCGGGCCTCAGCGTGGCTGCCCGGAGGGGACCG